AAGAGCGTCCACTTTCATTACCAAGTCGCTTGCACTGAAAAAAAGAGAGTTTACCATTTAGTCAGAAAACGCAGGCATGTACGACGTTTCTGCCAGTTAGTAAAACCAGAGAAGACAGTCTGAATCCAGACACCCAAACTGTTCTACCACCTTTCTCTATACGTTATTTTCCTTTTTGTATATGTTTATAATGAATTGGTTTGAAACACATAGCAACATAAAAACAGACGATCTGTGCTTCTGAAAACAAAAATCTATTCCAGAACAGGGAGTCCTTACTGTCCTCCTCCCTTTACTTCAAGGACTCTTCAAAGTAGCTCTGAAGAATTAAACATATTTAAAGATTAATCCATCATTAAGACGGTTAAAATGGGATAAAGCCGTATCCCTCTGGGTACCAAATGAAGTAAATGGCATTTCAGAGGCCAACCATGCCGCAGGCACGGCATCCCTAAACTTCAACCTCTCCTAGACCCGTTAGAGATTCAGATCAAGCCCTTGTTTCACAGCAGCGTCCCCCTTTTTACTGCAACTCTAGCAACTGGAAAGCAGCTCTGCGTGTGGGAGAATTTTGAGGGGAGAGGGGTCCTACTACAGGAAACAGAATCACTGCTGATAAGTTCCTACTTTTTATTATTCCCAGAAATTTTCAGTCTAGTATTTCATATTTCATCTTGAAAATGTAACACCTCATGAAAGTTCAGTGGAAATTGATTTGTACATCGTAGCTTTGCCAAGAAGCAATATTGTACTTAAGGGTCTGTCAGCTTTTCCTTAATTAACTCAGTCTCATAGATTTATAGTGACAGCTGTTTAAATTGTTCGTAACAAAAACACAAGCCTGGTGAGGTCTGCCGAGTTCTACAATGTTTTCTAATGCAGCAGTTCATTTCAAAAGCTTTCAGCAAACCTTGGCAGTTACTCCAAAAAATCTGAACTCTGCTCTGTCCAGGTGTTCAGACTATGGCACCTTCTGCCCTCCCATCCAAATAGCCTACAACCTTTCTTTATTTCCCTTTTGATTCCCAGTACAGTAGCGGATGCAAAAGGGTATGGAATACTGTTAAAACTGTCCTCTTAGAGCTCAGATTCACAGAAGATTTCTGTGCAAAAGACCTCTCGTTTCACCTATTTGACCCTGCAAAAAGCATAATCTGCCAGCCTTTAACAGAGAGCAGCCTTCTTAGCTACACAGTCAAACACACACTATAAATATCAGTTCTGACTGACAGACGCTAGCATATGTTCTTTTGAACGTGAAGATGACTTTCCTTTGAACAGTCTACCTCTGTTCTTTTCGCAAGACTTATCTGGAACTATGATTATCATTATCTCATCTCTACTTCTTTTCCTATTGTTTCTCTTTAAAAAGTGTTAGGCAGTGAAATATATTACTAAAAAGATGTTTTTGATATTGGTAGGACAGCAGCAGTTAGCTGAACTGCAAATAGATTCAGCAAGTGTGCTCTTCAGGGTCTCACCTCTATTTTCTTCCTTTCTTTCCCTTTTAAAACAGATATTGTAGTAATCCTGCATGTGTTATAAAACCAAGATGTATAGGAGGCAAGTGGTTTAAACCAGTCTGTCACTTAAGATTTAGCTAGGTGAAAACCCTCCACAAGTCTGAAGGCCTTAATATTAACGAGAAGCAGAAAGGCAGTCCAGCGCAGAAAGCTTTTTCAAGAACAAATGTAATAACGCATAGCAATTTATACTACTTTGTAACATAGCCCTTAGCAGCTAAAACCAGCTCTCCTCTGCATGTAGACAGCTTCTCTGTCGGTGATGCTGTCACCAGCCAGAGTCAATTAAATCTGGAATGAAACTTCATCTCGTTCAACGCAGCAGTGAATTTAGAAAGCTCTTGCAGAACGCGTGACCACCCTCGTTCTTCTTTTCATACGTTTTTTTCGCTCGACCTTTGTTTTTCTTCAGTCCAAGAAACCACTTCCCAAACTCCTCCAACACCTAACGCAGCAGGCTGTTGCAGCCCATGTTGCTGCGATCCAGGGACTATCATCTCAGAGAGCTCCAATGCATTCATTGTTCTGTGTTCACTTAAACAGTTCTATGGTAAGTCCCAAGAGACTTGGGCACCTTCCCACTTTCTTGCTGCTTGTCAGTGAGACTGTAGTCAACACAACTCCTTCAACCTCCATTAAAAGATAACAGACCAGCCACGGTAGATTACTACTAGTTCCAGGTAGCGAGTCAAGAAAATGAATTTGGAGTGCAGTACCACATCGGGGCTTGCCAGTACTCCCAATTTTGCTTCCTGAATCTGGGGGATACAGTTACGGGTCCATACCTACGTGAGATACTGCGAACTACAAAAAGTCACTAAAGCACCTTAAACCCAATACAGATAATTTACATCCTTTTCCTTTCTGACTTGCTTCTCTTAACAGTTGAGGCTTGACCATAATGAATGCATGCGTGTTTGTTTATAGCACCTAACCAGAGTGTATTCGATACAAGCTGAGGTTTCTCCAGGCTGCAGGAGGTCATGTTAGGAGAGTACCACCACTTTTTGCTAGTCTCTTCTGGTTTACTTACAGATCTTCCTCAAATCCCAGCTGCTGAATCTGGGATTTGATTTTCTGTCCTGATGTCTTTAGTATGATATTCTCAAGGAGGTGGAAATCATCCTGATTAAACATCTCACCATCCTCTAACGGGCCAATAATCTACAAAGAAAATGGCATCAGAATTATTACGTAAAAGCTGCACTGAAACAAAATTCAAAGATGTATTCAGCAAATACTCAGGCCCAATCCTGATGGGTATTAACTGGTTTTGACTGATATTCACGCCAATAGCAACCAAGTTTAACAGGTAATTCCAGCTATCTAGAGCCAACAGTACAAAATAACCTAGACCTTAAGATATAAAACGCGTGCTTACACTTTTCAGTAAGCGCTTTGATTTGCCAAAATATGGCATATTAAATTATACATGCAATATTACAGCCTGAAGGAGCAATAGAATACCAGGCCAATTCCAGTAGTGAGGCAAAGCCCTGGCAAATATTACTCCTCTAGCCTTCAGAAGCCTAAAAGCTGCCTAGAGAATTCTTCCTATTTTGCTAATAATGGGAGTAGAATAACTGCAAGTTATCACTTGAAATGTTTAACCCGATAAAGTATACAGTAGTTACTGGAACTTGCATTTTTCTCCTAAGTAGCAGGCAGATGATGAGAACTAAATGCTGTACACAGCTGGGCTTCGTTATTTGCAGGGAAATACCATAGTAACAGAATTTGCCTACTTTAGGTAGCTCTTGTAGAAGGAGCTTATGGGAGAGATCAAGTCACCAACATCCTTTAATCAGGAGCCAGATACTGGAACATTTTGCCCAATGGACAATCATTCAACTTTATAATCCCTTTTAGGCCCCGGACTCCGGTCAGTGCCAACATGACTGAAACTTCTGTTACTTAGACGTCTGTCTTTGTACAAAACTCCAGCTGCACGCAGTATAAAGAACTGATCACTGAAGGTCTGACTAAATCAAACTAGGTGCAGTCTAGTGACCTCAGGAAGGCAGAGACTCTGTATCAGATTATCGCTCTGCTGCTCAAGGTCGGCTTCTCTGCAACACTCTGAATAACTCTTTTACCATCTGCTGACTGATCTCACCCTTCCATTGCTGATCACAGCCCTCTGCCCCTTTTTCAGCTTCAGAACGTCTCTGCAGTATATAGCATGGGACAGAATAAAATCCACTTTGGGAGATTCATAGGCTTCTTTGAAAATATTGATATCCATACCCTGAAAGAAAAGAACACTTGACATTGAAACGAGAGGAAAAAAAAAACCCACCCACGAACATTTCTTGAAAATGCATCTTTCTTGTTTCCTTTCGAAAAGGTCTTTATAACTAGCTAAAAATCTATCTTCATGGCCCCATTCTTTGCGGTGTTAAACACAGCTCCTGTCTGTCATTCTCAAACATTATCACAACTTCTGATGTAAAGGGTCATATTCCATTCTTCTGGTCTTAAGTGGTTCTTTGCTAATTTTTAAGCCTCATTTGAGAAATGTAGTTTATTTTCTCTTTAAAGAGGATAATGAATTTGAACTTCTCTCTTAATACCCAAGAAACAACTGACTGATTTTAACGGATCTCTGAACCTGCCTTCCTTTTGACTTTTTAAAGTTGCGTAGCGTTGATGTGTAAGAGGATTTACATTTACTGTTAGGCAAAGCGTTATAGTTCACTAAGCTTAAACTCTCAGAGAAAAAACAAACCAAAAAACCCCCCAGAGTGTTACTCTCCATTGTTACTTGAGCTTTTCCACATGAACATGCTACACTAAGATACTCATTAGACGAGCTAGCAAAGTACCCTACTTTTGCCAACAAACATGCTTACCCCAACTGCAAATTCTAAGATGTCAGCTCCTGCCTCAAGCGCCTTTGCGGTTTCTTCCTTTGCCATTTTGGTGATGAAGTTCTTGGCATTGTTTGAAGTTTGTGTCTGCAGAGCTGCCCATATGGCCTTAGCAACAAGTGTATTCTTGCTGTTTGGATCTTCACTAGGGTTATTAATCATGCTAATTCGGACATTATTGCTGGATTTCTGTGTTTAAACAAACACGGATTAGAAAAGTTTTAATTTCAGGTATGTTTTATATGAGAAAAATAATCTATTTTAATAAGACCTACAGCAAAAGCTTTGTATTTCTTAGCATAAAAAACAGATTCCAATTGGGCATGTAACAGCACAAGGTTAAAAGGACAAAAAAAAAATTAATTTAACTCAGAGTATTTAGTCTACATATAAGCACCACTGTGACAGGAATCTTCTAGATAATACTGAGCACGTTTGCTATATAATAAATACAAGACCCTGGCCATCACTCAGAGATCTGGCAAAACAGTGATTTAGGAGTAAACTAGTTATTTTTATGATTCGGTCTCTCCAACAAGAGACAAAACAGAGAGCAGTGCACGTGTTCATCTCCAAACCACAACTCAGACATTTCATTTTAGTAACAGAGACTAAAGAGCATCCTTTCTTTATTGTATTAGTAGAGGGCCGAGAGGGGATTCTGCCCTGGCACAAGGTGGTCAGGGATGTTCCAGCCCCTACAGAAAAGATGAGGCTGGAAAACAGAAACCTACAGGGAAAACTAATCTCCCCTGGGTCATAAGACAAGACAGAACCATAATCCTGTGTTTCTGAAACCTCCATCCACTGCTTTATCAACACCACTGCAAGTATTACCTACCTGATGTTTAATTGCATCATACAACAACTGCCTCCCTGAAGGTTTATCAAAATCACCAACAATCCAGAAAGTAACTGGTCTAACAAAAGAATCATCTGTAGAAAAAAAAAGAAAAAAAAATATATTTGAGGGTAGAGGAAAGGCAAGTTTCAGTGTTTCTTCATTTGGATGAAAAACGATGCACATGCATAGATTTGGAGGGAAAAAAAAGAAAAATGACATAGGAGAGATGCAGATGAAGCTAAGCTATGAAGTCTGGTAGGACAAAAATAGTAGTATTGTATTAAGTTTGATTTCCCTCACACAGAAAACCCACATAGGACAGCATGCATCACTATTTCTAAACTGCTTTTTTTTTTTTTTTTTTGGCTACCTATTCAGTTTAGAAATTATAAAGGAACCTGTGAATTAATTAGCAGATTGCTGCTAGGGTGAAGACATGCCTCTTATTCATGCTGATTATGTTGGCTCACAAAATCGTTTTGTACGGAGAAAAAAAAATGCTGAAGCAAGCATGCATTTAAATCGCTTTCTATTTTCCTGCCGGTTCTAAAGCCAGCCTTATAAAGGAATTGGAAAATTCCCAGAACAGTAACATAAGAAATGCTAAAGCATGAGTTACCATAGATTTCCTTGGAAGACATTCCTGGTCAAAAAGTGGAGAGGAAAGAGGGAAAGGAAACAGACATCATTAATTTTTTTAGTAATCCCAATATGTATCAAGAAGCTGAACAGCGCTGCACTAGGCATAACTCTGAACCACTGAAGTTCAGTTTCAACACGCAACAAGTTTGTTATTTTATTAGAATAAACTTTGACTTTTTTTTTCCCCAAAGAGCTTGTTTTATTTTCATACTACAGTGCTAATTATACTACATATTATCAGTTTCATACTATACCATGAAGGCATCATTCTGAAGACCATTTGCAAAACCTGCCATGCCATTGACTTGGATGTTGACAGTTACTGTTTTCTTCCCTCTTCAAAAACCAGCAAGCCAGCACTATTTCAGTATTGCTGCTGAGTCAACAACCCGTATACCTTTCCTATTACTTTAGAAAATAAACATGCTACAACATTACTGTAATCAGATACCAGCTATCTTAAGTCACAGAAGGGGCAGTGAGCAAAAAACTGTGAAGCCATGGGATCACAAACTAATACGCCTCCATGAACAGAAACCGCTGACTAATGAGATGAAATCAGCAGAGAGCAGGAAAGTAAAGAGAAAGTTAAGCTAATGAAATCTAACAAAATTCACGTTTTGAATGAGCAGTCACAATCCTCCAGAAGGTTAACAAATGCCTATATTCTCATTTAATTTCCACAGGAGTGGCTGCTTCTTCACCCCTCCAGGTCGATACCTTGGAAGAAACAGCACTTTCAAACGAGCACAGGGAGATGCAGTTTTAAGTAATAGTCTACAAAGGGAAAGTAAGAAACTTGCTCAGATCTAAGTGATTGAACATGAACCAAGGGCAAATACAAGACAGGAGGAGGAAAGGGAACGTTTAAGGCAGTGCATGCAGGTGGCAGTGCCTTGAGAGCGCACCAGGGGAAACTTGTAAGAGCCTGGTAAAGAACACAGAGACAGAAACAAGAGAAATTGGTTCAAAAAGCAGCGTGTTATTTCTGGTTCCTAATTGAAATGGATACAGGCAAGGGCTGGTTAAGCATAAGCTCTGTACATGCATTTCTTAGAGTGAGCGGCACAGCTGAGTTTTAATACTAACGAGGGACTTCATGTATAACTAATAAAACAATAGCATCATTGACAAAGCAGTACATGCACTGGAGCAGTAAGAACAGCACAGAGCAGGTTAGCAGTTGTCTTATATAACGTGCAATAACAAGTTTCTTCTGAATTCACACAACTTTTAGTTACTTTGAATTATGAGGCAAAGAGCAGTAATCCCTTTTTATACTTTTCTAGTCAGTAATAACTGCAGGATCAGAACTTGCATTGCTGTGTTTCTGGTAGTCCTGTGCGCAACACAGCATAAGTTTAGGGGAGACTTCATTATTCATAGAAGGCTACAGATGTTTAACGAGGGGAATATTCTTGTTCCATGCAGATGCCAAGCCCTACAAAAGTCTATTTTTAACACTTGAACGGCACCCTTGCCCACAGGCCTGAACAGAGTTCATGGCTTAAATGCACTGAGTACTGCAGGTATGTTCTGAAACACATATAAAAATAGATTTGGGTTCATAATCTACTGTAGATGTTACCTCTCTTTGTTAAGTAGGTCATGCTGTTTGCCACAGCAGCTGTCTTGTCTTTGGATTCCAACGTAGTGAATCTCGCAAAGTCATCCACATAAAAGTTATCTGGAGAGAAAATATGAGAGACAAAGTATTAGATGCCAAAGCAAACTATTTTCCCTGTGACATGAAATAAAATCAGCAGTATTACCAGAATATCAAGTCTCACATCCCACAATTTTTTGCTTGTGACATTTCTTTTTATATTTCATTTCTGTTGTTATTAGACAATATGCTGAGAAACTTTTGTTGTTTCGTAAGCTACACTAATAGCTACATAGCATTTTCGATATGCAGAAGTCACTTATTCAAGTCTGGCTTGGTTCAAGTTAATTTACGTAAATAGTATACATTTAAAAGTCCACCGTATTACTTCTTTTCAACCAACTCGGGAAAGGTCATTACACAAGTGCATCTGCAGTCCTGCTGTTATAGTGCAGAGTCTCTGCATTGGGTGTTATTCCTTAACACTTCAGCTCTCAACAGTTCTCTTAAAATACATGGCACAGCAAATCCTCAGCAGTTCCTGAGACTGCCAACCTCTGCTCCAAAGGTCAGAAATAAGGAACAAACGATTGCTTTACACTTTACAAGACTGTAGCGCTCTTGACTTTTTCTAGTGTTCTTATTCTCTCAACTTCATGAGTCACATTCCCCTGAAGATGTCACTTGGGGTACTGTTAATACTTTGCCACTAGAGCATTCTGTTGGGAAAGCAAAAGTCTTACAATCAGATACTTCAGGTGTAATGCAGCTAAAAGCAGCCCTTACTCATTGCTGTCAGATCTAAATACTCTCTGTCAGACGTTAAGATCCTTGAATTGATTCTGGGAACAACGTTAGGCTGGTTCATGATGTATTCAACTACATCTTGATCATTAGATAATTCACCCTGAAGGAAAGAAGAAAGAAAAAGCAGTTTTGCTTACATCACACACATATTTGCCTTAGGCCACTTAAAAAACCAAGCAGTTAAGTAAGTTAAGCTGCCAGGTGTATTATATATTCAGGGACTTGCAAGTCAGTTTTTGAAATGATGTTTCTCTCTGAAGTTGCAGCTGAACCCAGCACCTACCAAGTACACAGCTCGCTGGAAGAGGCTTGTGGTTTCCAGGATTTTGTGCATTGTCACGGTTTCTAGGTCGTCAGGATCCAGCTGATCTTTTTGAAAAGGCATCCCATTGAACAGCACCACAGGGAGAGGACCTACACCTGTCTGCTCATAGTAACCTCTTGCTGCCTAAACATAGGGAACGAAATAACTTTACCATGTCAGCCCATTACTGCAAGGGTTCATGTTTCCATGCAATATCCACTGAAGTCTATTCTAAACATACAAAGATGTGCTTTCAGCTTTTATGTAACACATACAGCATACAAATTTTATGCAATGCATAAAACACTTTCTGTGTGTTACATGCGTAAGATGTCCTTCTCTTCCAGAGTTTCAAAGCAAAAAGAGCTCATTCATGTTAAAAAAAAGTGTGTCTAACTAGGCATCATGCAAAACAGTCCACTAAATTCATACCGTAAACCAGTTAATTCTAATGAAGAACACTTTCTGGTAATAGCAAAAAAAAAAAAAAAAGCACAGTATGAAACCAGCATTTGCCCTAGAAGTAGTACGCAAGTATTGGTATTCATAACATAAGATGGGGGAGGGTTTGGTGGGTTCTGTTTCCTCTTTTTTTTTTTTTTTTTTGAAACATGTTTCTTAAACTTTTTACACACATTTCCTGCAGGGGGGAGGCAGAGAGGCAAGAGGGGGAGAAATTTGCCTTGACAGAATAACCGTTTCACGTAACCACTCTAAAATGCACCATCATTATTCATATTCGGTTAGGGACAGAAGTTAATCAAGTTCTACTGTTCAGCGGTTCTTTTTGAGAACTTTCAGAACCTCTTTAGCAGTAGTCCTTACCCTATAGTTATCTTTTAAGAACAGAGGGGAAAAAAAAAATATCACGTAGCTCAGATCACTTGAAAGTGTGACCAGTGTTAAGTTTTGTCCTTTCTATAGAGAGAAGTTCTCTATAAAGACCTCCTTTTAAGACGTAGTCATGCTGAATGGCGTCAGGTAGAACAGTTGCAGCAAGGCCTCCATTATGGCCTCTCAAGTCTTTCAGAGATTAGCACTTTGTAGCTGTTGGGGATTTCTTGCGGAGGGTCGTTTGTTTGTTTCTGGGTTTTAAACGGGGTGAGAAGACGGCTCTGTTAGAAATCCAAGCCAAGCCGGTTATTTATGACACTGGAAACCTGTTTAGTTCAGCACAGGAACAGCCCAGGTTCACATTCCAGCTTCACCCTCAGCACTGCCATTCCTGCCTTTTGCTTTTTGAAAGCAAACAATTGATTGAATAATGCCTTGCTTCCTCCCCAGTCACATACCCCCTTTCAAGACTTTGCGGTAACTTCAGAACAGCAGAAGTGTTGTGTCAGCCACACAGTAACTGCAAAGATTAGTTAGTATCACCTATTCTTTTTAGGAAGAATTTCAGGTTGAGTGCTAGATACTTTTAAACTGCAGAAGGCAAGAAATCTAACCATACTCCACAGTTGCTAGCCCCAGTTACGAGCTGAAGCAGCTGCCATGGTTCCAGGCGTCCTTCCTGCTCCACGCATACATGTTTGGGTAAAGGAGAAAGCGATGGGATCCATTTAAGCAGGAGAGTCTCATATGTATGAAAATTTAAGGATAGCTTCATAAAGGGAGGTTCCAGCAGAGTCGGCCTCCTCAATTCTGCCCCCAGCCATGAAACTGCACTGGGCCTATTGGCCAAGTCCTTTATGCCTCAGCACACTAAGGAGTGTGATTTGCTCTGCTTGTTCTGATCAGTGAAATCAACTGGTAAGAAGTACTACGCTGTATCTGCCATTTAAATTGATAAGACCTCCTGTCAATTCAGAAATTTCTACCCTAATTTTATGCTTCTTGATTACCTCAAAATGCTTCTTCTCCACTTTCCTACTCAGACTCACACGCATCCGTGCTTTACACCTTCCTGTGTACATAACCTTGACAGCATTCTTCATATTTCCAGATGTTGGCAGTATCATAAATATTACAGAGCTGTTGTAGAAAGTACTTCCATTCTTTCTCCTGGAACATTCAACTAAAATAACCATCCCCTATAGAATCCCAAATAAGATCTGCTTCATCTCACGTAAAAGTGACCCAGTAGTGTTTTGTACTCCCAGCTTTCTCCATACAGAAAAGTTTCAACCCTAAAAATATTTTTAAGAAATCCTTTGAGAAGGGTTGCCAAATGCCTTGCTACAGGCAAGGAATTTTGCGTTTGTCATCATCCTGTTATCTTGGACACTAGTCAAATACCAATCCTAAAGAAAACCGACATGAACCCCTTCCAAACACTAAGCTGCTAGGTTTCCCCTATGAGCCATGTTCTCTTTGATTTTTTTTTTTAAAGCAATTATAGAGACATGAGACTGTTATCTTAGTTCTTGTAATACAAGATATATAGGTGTGTATATGTGTATATATATATTTGTGTGTGTAAACTTTATGCTGAACATAAGTCCCTATAAAAATACTGTTGAAACTCACCCCAGTATGATAATGAAATAGATTCTTGTTTACTAAATAAGAGAACTGGAGCAAGACACCGTACACAGCGATGATATTTGCAAAGCAGTGTTGTTGCAAAGGAAAGAGAAAAAAAAAAAGGTAAAAATGCTTTATTTCTCAAATTCTTACCTTTCTGTTTTGATCATAGGCAGAATCGATTCCCAGAATGCTGTTCACTTCCACATAAGGATACTGTTTCTCAAGAACACTAACCACATGCTCAACTCTCAGCTGATCTCCTGTTTTTACTTTGTTATATATCTGGAAGGAGGACACACATGCAAGTTTACAGCTGCAACTCTCCTTACCAAAGGTAACTTAACATATCACCTGTATTCCAGTAATTATACAAGGTATTAGCAGCCAGATACTCAACATATTTTCATGTTTATCAAACTTCAATAACAGGTTGCAAGTACAAAGCTGAAAGTTAAAAAGTGCTGGTAGTTCTGAAACATATCTTGCTTTACCCCATAGTTATTCCAGCCAGATTGGAAAGAGGTAAATATCATGAATTTCTTTAAATAATAACTTGTATATTTAATTACAAAAGGTATCTTAGCAGGAAAAGTAGTGCTCAGTGGGGGAAAAAAAAGGCTCAAACGAAGCACATCAGAAGAGCTACCTCTTCCTTGCAGAACAAGATATGTGCTTACAAACAATACAACATGCCCACACACGTAAAGCAGCTAACTAATTTTGTTTCCCTCTTGAAGGCACAAGATTTACTTTAGACATACAACTATATATAAAACCTCTGACATTTATATAACAACAAAAAAAAATTGTATTCAAATAACTGGCAAATTTAATGTTACTGTATGTCCATCTTACAGATTTATGCAACTGTGTCAAACTACCAGTGAAATTAACTACAAGTGAAAATGAATTTACTAATATCTATAATATCCTTTTATGTTGCGAGATTATGTGGCGACAACTGTTCAGGACAAAAAAAAAAACCTCTATAATATTAAAGGAATAGCACAGTTTAGAAGTCACATGAGCAGAACAAAGAAAGAGGTAGGATCGGAAAAACTTGCAAAAGTACAAACGTCACATTTAAATCTGGCCTCTCGTTAAAATTAGATCACAGCACTTTAGAGGGAAACAGGTATTCTGTAGTACTGGTTTTCTGAGGTACCCTGAATGCTAACAGAGTTTAGCACATTAACACAATTTATGGCAAATATTAAAACATTCAGTTAAATGAATACTTACAGACATGACTGCCTGGAAAGCATAATTATTATCCATTTCTTGTGCCACATAATTGTATGCCCTAAGAAGGGCAACACCAGGATCCTGAAGTCCATCAACATCTTCTGAGTCATTTACCACAAAGACTAGTCCTATCCTGCAATCAAACAAACCCCCAGATTATGAATCTGTTATACTAACAGGTAATCAACTCTTCATACAACAGTCAGCAATGATCAGCATCTTAAGCCAAGTTTTTTTTTCCTGAACAGACTGATAAGATTTTGAACGGTGTTGAGGAATCAAAATTATGACATATCTTCTCTAACAGGGAGTCTGTCAGAATCTCGCTTTTCATATCTTCTTTCATCCAAAGTGCTTGCTTTTAAGTATCTTCTGGACTCCTGGAGAGACCGAATTTTTTATTCGGCTCCATTTTGCTATTAGCAAAAGTTTTACTCAAAACATTTTGAAGAAGGAAAAATTGCCCTTTCCTACCAGCAGTACAAAGCATACAAAATTTCTACGGTTTCCTAAACAACAAGCATTTACAATTGCAAAAGTCACAAAAGTGAAACTGATCTGAAAATCAAATCCCATAAAAACATAATATTACCTCAGTGGGATGTGGTTACTGAAGAACATCTCTGCCACATTAAACAATTCTGCTGTAGTCTCATGAGTAGGATCTACTATCAGCACCTGCACATAAATTGCAAATAAGAGGTTTCTGTTCCCTGAAGAAGTCAAGACATTGGCTTTTGACTAGAGATAGCTTCATTAATACTTTACTGCAGAGTTATTACCAATCTCGTTCTATTCACTGCCAGGGAGATGAGACCCACTAAGTAAGTTTCTCCTAAAATCTTTAAGTCCAAAATCATAATCTAAAGTGCCCTGTCTAAACTGCTCCTTTACCCGGAACAGACTGGACTCCTTTCACGCCTTGCCTTTACCTCAGTACGCCCTAGCATCTAGGCTTCTCTCTCTGGCCACATCAAAATCTTCCCAGTTAAGTGCTCCATGCGCGTCTTGCCAGAATGCAGGAAAACCGTGTTGCTCTGCCTGGCCTTCCTGAAAGGCCCATCCTTCTAGGCATTCTCGGAGCAAGGCCAACACACAGACAGAAGCGGGCTTCCTTAAAATGAAGTTACGGCCCGTTATTCAGATGAATAACGTTGCTTTTCTGTTAGATAATTTGAGTGCTAAAAGCATGATCTCCATAGAAGGATGCTCCCACAGCACTGTTCACGTTTGGTTCACATGGCGGCATTCACATGACCAGTCCAGAGAACCATGTTCAGTAATCTCTGAATCTGAGTCGTAACTTGGCAGTATAGTTAGAACTGAATCCTTTTGGAAAAGCATCCTAACTCGATCTTTAAGTGACAGAGATTCCAACATATACGTAGGTAAGTTCCAAGAGCTAACGCTGCTGCTGCTGTAAGAAAAAAAAAAAAAAAGGAACGTTTCATTTCTCATCAGATCCCTACTTACAAAATTATGGAAGTTTTTCCTGATTTGTCTGATTACCCCTGGAAACGTGGGACGCAGCAATTCTTGCACATTGGAAGGCCAGGAATTATATCGGCTGTCCACCTCAAGATTGTTGATCCACTAAGGAAAAATAAAATAAAGCCACTTAAATGATCGCCAATCCTCCTGCTTGTGTTTGGAATAGTAAAATATTTAAAAAATTGGACACTGTATTGAGCGCACTATATGAATAAAAAGTTAAATTTTACTAAGAGTTAATTGCATTTAAAACACAGCACTTGTTTTCCCTACTGTTGCTCCTTTTTCTACCTCTGCAGAGTTTCAGATTTGATTGTGAGGTGAAGAGCTACAGTTCCCCTGACAGCTTAAGAACACGTTGCCCAAAGGTGGATAAGGTATTTCTTATATAAAACCATACGCACTGAAATAGCAGGGCTTCTGATGTCCACAGCATAGTCTGAATCTGATGGCTGGATGTTCAACTTCAGAACATTGTGCAAGGAAAGACCTTCAATTCCTAAGCTGTGCAGGCCTTCCATAACACGGGCTTCATTGCGTAACACGTCAATCAGGCTGGAAGGAAACGAAAAATAATTTTGTTGAATTTTAAAAACACAAGAAATAACTTGCTGTAGCCTAAGGGTTAGCAGATGGAAGGTATAAGCAGAAGACTGCAAGGTCTGTGCATTTCTTACTTCTTACCTATTTCCAACTGTCTCAAGAAACTTGAGAATTTAAACATATTCAATTATTTTTCTAAGAAAAAGTGCATTACGCCAAGAGAACTTAAGCATGATGTACAATTGTAATTTCAGTTCCACAGTACGGAAACAGATCTCGACAAAGATGCAAAGCAGTTTTCAGATGGAAAATTTACAGGGATGTAGGCTTTAAGAATCAAATATTCTTCGGAATAAACTTCTACCCTGACAGTCCTGTATTCACAGAGCAGGTCAAAAGAACAGTAGTAGGGTAAGGATCCCTTTCTGATGTTCTAGGGTCTGTGCATCGGTTTCGGTTTCCGCATCCGTTTTTTTTTGTTAGGAAACCACTTGTGTAAGAGAAGTAAACAGGGTTTCCTTTTCCCTATACTTATCAATTACACATTTACAACTAGTCTAAATATAGATTTTTCAAAGAAGTAGTTTCAAATCTATCTAAATGACCGTCATCAATGCACAAGCAGGATGCAAGATGCTAAACAGGACACAATTATTCTGGAAGACAAGACATCCCTACCTAAATATGTCCTGAGTGTCTAAATCAATATGTAGTCCATTGATGAACAGGGCAGAATCTCCCGGCTGTAATCCTAATGTTCCTTTGAAGTACTGAAGACAGGAGGAAAAAAAAAAAAAAGCCATTAGAAGAACGCTACCAACAGAATAAAAATGACTACAGACTTGACTCATGTCAAAGCTATGGATTTGACCGCCGTTATTACTTGGATTGCATTATATTAGTTCTCAGCTACAGTCTTTTGTTGACTTTGTGAATGTATCCGTACCTAGTAAGTAAAAAGAAAAAAAAACAAAAGGGAAAAAAATGAAGCTATCTGGTGTAGCTATACATAAATGGGACCTCTGTGCAACTCTGACAAATTTGGAAATTGCCTGAGTAGACCTTTTAAATATACTTGAACTAAATCATCAGAAAATACTTGAGAGAAGTCATTGAATATTTTCTAGCTGACACCTCACAAAATACTTGGACAAAAAGCATCCAGGTACCTGTCTTAGCTCTTTAAAGCTCATTTTTGGGCAGAACAGGTTCAAACTGCTGTATGTCGCTTGGTGCTCATTAGTGGAACTAACTGCTGTTTAAGGTACCAACTAAGCCCTGATGCATCTACTGTCTCATCAATGAGGAGCATATGAGCTGCAATAATAGTGTGAAGTTCCAAAAAAACAGACAGCACCTAAGTGCATGGTAAAGTCTCATGAATATCTTGGAAGTTCTGCTAAGTACCTCTAAAGCACTACCCCGTTTGACTGCGTGCTTGCCCCTAAACTGAGGCACCATCAGAGTCTAATTTTGAACCAACAGAGAAGTGAGTAGAAAACAGTCCTACTGAAGCAAAACTCCTAAATCTAGCATGTAAAAATTCTATTAAAAAAAAAAAAAGAAGTGTCACTGCTTTCTCCTAATACCTCTCCTTATGCAGCAGCAGTTACAAAATTCTATTAAGAGGCATAACGAACACTGAAGGGGAAAAAAAAAAACCAAAAACAGTATTTGCACATGAAAAAAACCTAATTCTGTGAAGAGGATGGACAAAGCAAAAGGAGTAATAGCAAACTAACATGTGAAGTACCTAGAACAGGAAAGCAGCATATAAGCAGGAAGAATTTATATATTCTATTAGTTAATAAAGCTCCCAGAAAAGAGTTGAGTATGTTCTATGTTAAGTTATAGCTTTCTGCGCATACATACATTCTAAACTACAGCTTACTAAAAGCAGTGAACTTCACTAGCAAATAATATCTACAGAGAGAGTCATGCAAAGGAAAAGATTACAAGAGCAGAGCTCTTTAAAATCTAGCCATATCTGGATCTAGTAGTCTAGACATATTTGGAATAAAAATGTATCTACCTAATTGTGGGGTTACCTCCACGCCAGGCTGCTCTAACACACAGTAGAGAAGCCACCAGGCAGCTTTAACTTACAATTATAATCTACACCTCGTCCCTTCCAGGACTATGGTGTATCCTCTCTTTTCTGATTTTATCACTATTGAACAACTAAGAGATTTCTCTTTCAGAACAGGAATCTTGGGGACTTATAAAGCTTTGAGGTTGCATTTACTACTAAATGAGCTGAATATCATCAATGAGATTAAAAAAAATAAAAAAGGACATAAATGTATAGTTCACGTACTTTGTATTTTTGCTGTTAATGTAAAGTTGGACATTAGACTAGATCATGTACCAAAAGGTATGGCTTTGATTTTACGATAATGCTAAACTTGTATTTTGTGCTCTATCTGGACTGCACAACCAGGTGTATTTTCATTCTACTGTACAAAATTGCCAAGTGGCTACTGTTTTTTCAGTGCTTTGTTAATGCCAAGTACACAGCAGAGCTGTTCGAACATTTTTTTGCAAACACTAGAGCACACTCTGGGCAGGAAGTTGAGCTCAATGACATCCAGAGGTCCTTCTCAACCTAAGTTTTTATGATCGTGTTTGAAAGCACAGGTGGAAAGAACATGACTTACTTGGGTAGGTGCTAAATTTTTATTAAGTAGTTTCCCCCTCAAAATACCAGTAGTCGAACCGTTTTCTCCACATAGTATATATGGATGATTACAAGCAATGGCAGGAGGTTTTGAGTAGATCCTGCGGCTTCCCTGTAAACACTGATGAATTTATACCTCTAAAAATTATTTTCTAAACGCTATCTCAAACTGGGTCATGAAAAATGTATTTTTTTTCCTGCCTCCTTAAAGCTGTGAGAATATGCTTAATATACTTGCTTTCCAGGAATAGCTTTCTAACAAGCTACATTCCTTCCAGCTCAGACATTTAAACATAATCCAAAAATATAACTACACTCTGACTGTAATAGCTCCCACTAAAAAGCACTCGCACATTTAACATACGGTTGGCTGCAGGAAGTTCAGAGTACACTCCAAACTTAAAATCAATAACTTAAAATCAAGCTAAGCCTGTTTTTAACTATTATTCGGGGTGAGTTATACGCTGAGATTCAGAGTTTACACATTTGTTAGAGCAGTCAAATAGAAACTAGGTCAGAGACTGAAAGAAGGCCACCCAGTAGGCACATTTATACAAGTGTACTAACCATCTCTCTGCAGCTTGAACTGACAAGCTGTGCTGGACTATTAGAGAAGCTAAGGACTGATGTGACATAGACATCAAGATTTCTCCTAGTGCATTCTTGATCTAGTCCTGTTCTGCAGGCTAGGGATTAAAAGCCAGTCCACCTAGAAATCCTAAGAAGACTTATGCTGTGTATTTTCTGTAAATACATAGAACGTTTTCCTCCAGGGTTGAGAACACTGTTTATTCGCTGGCTTTAAAGTTCATTTTATAGAGGTAAATAAATACAGCTAACAGATTCAGAGATCAGATACTAAATAGAAGCTCATTTTTGCGTACATTGAAAAGCACTTGCCAAATAACTGTCAGGGCACTTTTGACTGCTGTGAGCAACCCTTATAGGGGCAGTTCTGTAAACAACCCCCCCTAAAATCTCCAGATCATCATTCCCCAACATATTATTGATCTCCCTCAACGAATTTCTGATCAGTGTTTTCATATTTGGGCAAAGTTATGTTCCTAATCCATGTTTGGAAATCCAGTCACTTCTTCACTTCCCAAGTGCATAGTAAGACAAAGATGTGTGTGAAAACATTAGCTCATATTTTTAAGCACAGCGTACACTTTTAAACAGAAACATTTTCAAAGCTTCAGTTTACATTAAACGTGCGACAGCACTACATGACTTTCTGGAAGCGTTACCTTTTGGTTCTCTTCAATTTCTGTCCTGAGTTCCGAGGAAACAACTGTTTTTGTTATTGCTCTACGGAAATAAAAACCAACATGCTGTCAATTTTCATTCCATTTTGTCCAATTATCCCACTTTCTGTATCTAACTATAACTATATTTAGTCTCCTAGTATCATGAGCTGCAACCAGAAGCACTTGCATTTTGTGGCCCCATTAAAAAGTAAGATGCAATATTATTTCTTTCAAAAATTGCCTGCTGTAATTCAAGAGAAGATAAAAACGTTAACCCCATGCCAACTGCCCCAAGAACGAACCTTTCTGACTCTGTGTCTAGCTTCACCCTTAAGCCATAATAAAACTGGGCTGCTGCCAGCAAAAAAAGTAGAGGTGGAAGTGGAGCAGAGAGTAGGAAGATTTCATTCTTTGCTGTGGGCTCCCATTCCTTTCCTTGTAACGTGATCGTGCCATCATAGAACAGGTGAGTTCAGCTCACTGATCTGACTAAGAACTAGATGACAGCACAATTCCAGCCTTAATGAGACGATATAAATAGCGCAATCTTAACACTAGTTACTGAGATATAAGACCAGAACTCAGTCTCTTTTTACTCCACCTACTCTAAAGGGACTAGCTCCTGTAGTAGCGTCCTCACATATTCTTCTACTGTGGTGGAGCAAGTGAGATCATGTCTGACTTTCTTGAAATTAATCGGAACATGCCCAAGACCTTCACTGATGTCAAGTTACTCTATTTTCTGCATTTAGTCATCCTCTGATGTAAAATTTACTCCCTTAAGCACTGGGCTGTTTCCAAAAGTGGATCTCAGAAGAGTGGGATCCAGTAAAAGGTAAATCCTAAAACCACTGGACAGAAACCCTATCCAATACATTCTTAAGGACTTGATACAAAAGGTTCAGAAACATTTCAGAACAAAATAGCGCAGGTAATTTTGTTGAATTTTCCACTGGTCAAAGCCAAAGAAAAACACCGTAAGCTTCTCATTGTAATCAGAAGCTGAAGATCTCTTCTGCGTAAATGCTCTCCAATGTTTCTTCCTGCTAAATGGAAACTCGGCCATTAACCAGACCTATGCTGCCTGTCAAGTATTCTGCTGAGAAAAAGAAAAAGATAATTTAGTAAGAAAACTTCCTAGTACTCATCATTAAAGTTACCTGGCCTTTGTAGGGAAGTTCTGACTGAGGTCTTTCATGACCATCAAAGCATCCACAGGGGGAGCAGCCAAAATGCGGGCAGCGGTTTGAAAACTTAAATCTAGAATTGAAACAGTACAAGTCAAGGACTCTAAACTGAAAAGAACCCGATGCACTGCACTGAAAATAAAAGCATTTCTACGTCAGTCATACCAACTTCAGCTTTCAGCATTTTTGCTCATCTGTTCCTTTAGGTACTTTTTTTTTTGTCTTCTTCCTAATTTACAGCTTTTATTAAACGCCTCTGAGTAAGTCACTCCTTCAAACTGAATTAGTGTACAATGTCGACAGCTTGCTTCCATGAGCCCAGACCATCACCTTCCATCGCTTTTTTTTTTTTTTTTTTTTTTGGTAGGGACAAGAGGATCTACCCTTCAGAAGAGGTCTGGCTACTTCACAGGCTAGGAAAATAAACAGCAATCTGTTGGAGATAGATTCTCTGTAGCTACAACATATATTCAGCATTTCTAGGTACTCCTTTTCCAGAGGATGAATAGCCTTTTCAGTAGGCCTATAACAAGAACTGCAGATGCTTTCCAGGGAAACAGGTTAGAGTTGTATGCAGAAGCTTTTGAAATACAGCTCAAAATGCCTCTTGCTGGCTTTTACAGAAAATTAGTTCTATCTTGGTGGTAGTCAAAAGGAGGAAAGATCATTAATTTAAGAACTGAAAGGCCACAACACACATGAATGTCACAACAAGAAATGCTGGACTGCCTAGTCACGTTTGATTTGTGGGATTGTTTGTTAAGTTTAAAATAATGCAGCATTCTTTGAGGACAGGCTGTGGGTACCCACAATGGGACCAAACTTACTGGTGGGCCAGGGCATTCAGCAGACTCCAGTGGAAGAGGTAGCCACTATCACACAGACAGCTCTAACTTCCATCACTTACAAGAAGCACCGTATTTGCTGCACACATATTTAACAACTGCACTACCGGCTTGAATTTTGACAGAAGTCCCCATCTGACCTTTGGGAAAGACACTAGCTAGGAGTAGGCTGCCATAAACAAAACACTTTACACAGTCCGCTCCTAGCTATCCTCTTTCCCGCGGAACAAACAGGGACATAGCTATGTGATGTGCTATGCAGCTCTCATACAGGAAGCTTGATGGGAGAGACTGAACGATCTCTGTGAACGATGGCAGAAGAACGAGCTGACAGGATGCGCGGTCACGGGCTGCTGCACGTGACCAGTAGGGTCTGGTTTGAAAACCGCCATTCTAGTAATAGGAATGGATGATATTCAGTAGCATGCAAGTGGGAATTCCTACAAGTTCTGATCCTGCAAAGACCATGCACGTCCTTACCCTAAGTAGTCCCACTGTATATCCCAACACCAAGAACCCATTTAAACATGTAGGATTCTAGAGTAGACGAAAGTGGCAAAAAGGGAACTTCACTTTCAAAGTAGTACCCTCCTTTGGTCTTGTGAAATCTCAGCTTCCAAAGCGAGGCTGTGACTGTAGTAACCAGTTTAAGAGTAAGTGGCTTTCTGTACATCACCATACAAAAGCAAACCTCACTTCAGAGGTCCCGTGAAAGAGAATCTTTGTAAAAGCTATTTCAACAAGACCCTGGGAAGGAGCTTCAGAAAATGCAGTCGTTTCCAAGGCAGGAATTTTACAGCCAAACTCTCCCAACTGTACCCTGCCACAAGCAGTGGCATTTGCATAGAATGCACAGATATTTGTACACAAAGTATTTACAGTACAATACTGAGAGTCTTCCTACAGTTTACCTTGTAACTGCCATACTTTCAAAGGTGCCATTTCATTGGTGCTTTCCACAAGGTGTTTTCTAAGCTCTTTCAGCTCCTCTGTCAAGTCAGGATACAACTGCCTGAAAGGGAGTGAGAATTAAAAAACAACCTTATGTGGGTTCCTGTAAGCAACTTTGCTGCTAATTCAAGGAGACCAACAACTGAAAAAGAATGCTGCTAACACATGCGGATAACAAAGCACTCAGATATTTAATAAAATAACAACAAAGCAAGAGATCAGCATCTCTGCATCAAGTGTTTTGATAAGACAAAGCCCAACAAGTTACAACAGAGTTTTACCTTAGTTTTCCAAAGAGAAATCCTTGCACTTCATCAATAGGGTCATTTTCATCTATTACTGTAGCATTCACATCTGTACCTGTAAATATACACAGAATACCACTATCACCAATTATTTAGACAGCTCCCACGCTCGATTTAATTTGTTTTGGCATGACTGCCTGAAACAATACGTATAAAAGTTTTATACTTGTGCACAACTCATTTTTAGTTCTCAAACTACTTTTTTAGCAGAGAACGGGCATCATCCCCCTATTTGACAAACAGAAAAATCAGCTCTGTCAAGTAACCATAAAGCTAGAGATAGACCACTGTTTTCAGTATATTCAGTCTCATTGTCAGTCCCTTCAACAGCTGATGGTTCACCAAAATTCATTTAAAAAAGTTAATACAGTTTTTTGTTTTTTTTTTTTAAAGCAGATGGGGCACTGCAGTAACTGCAAGGAAGAAAGAAAGGGCAAGTTCACTTCTGAACTTGTATCCAAGAGACACTAACTGTACAAATGAACCCAGTAACAGCTGAAAGAAAACCCGAGTTGCATTGTTTAGAAGGAAAGTCTCAGAGGTGAGTGGACATCTCAGAGGTACCTAGGCACCGCAGAGGAATTCACTAGGGCCTAGGAGCTTTCTGGACATACCAGTTTTGTAAGGTAGGTGCTAAACCTAAATCATGAGCACCACCCTGACTTTACCCCCCAAAATACAGGATAAAAACCACTATCTGAATACCAATTCTGAGCTTAATCATCAGAAAGAAATCTGTGAAAAGATGATGCAGATAGTCACACCATCTGCTAACTAGGTGGATGCAAGCCAGCTTCAATCCAAATGTTTTATGCTCAAGTCTGTCCAAATGTCCAGTCCTTTTGGAAGAGTGCTTGCTTCTAGAAAGGCAGAAACACAGCTAGAACAAGCACAGGCATGAACAAAAGAGCGAGCACCCAATCAGGCAGGATTTGAATAAGAATTATACCCTTCATTTGCAGGTTAAAATGTAAGAGTAATTTGCAGCTCATAGCAACGCAAGTATAGTTTGCCAGTTTTGTAAAGCATTCCAGATGACTGCATCAATTTAGGCGTAAAACTTCACAAGTTTACAAATAACAGATTTTCCCCAGAATTACTTTTTTTTTTTCCCAGGGAAAAAATAAAGGCCTCCAAACTGCTTATGCTACAAACAACATCAGAACTTGGCATAACTTTGTGACAACAAATTAATGAAAACTCTCACACACTAATAACATGAAATCATAAGCTGAATGACCTGCCTCTAGTATATCAGTTTCTCTCAAAACAAAATACACATACACACACACACACATATATATATATATGTATGTATTACTAACAAATAAAGTAATGATCGTATTTGTCTAAACTCCAGATTATGTCAGAATATTTTGAATCAGAGTTTAGATCTGTACTTAAGAAGCTGATTAAACTGCAAACCCTGAAGAACCTAATTCAAAATCTGAGTTTGGTTCTTCACAACTGTTATCTGTAACTAAAAATATATATATATATAACGAATATTATTTTCAGTGAAGCTTTGATCAGGGCAACATTTTTTGAAATAGTAAACCAGAAAAATCTATTTTAATACCATTTTTTTCAAAACACTCAGTATGCTTACTAAAGTCCACAGAAAATTCTGTGAAATATTATAAACAAACACACACACACACACACACACACACACACACACAAATGTCCCTACTAGAATAGTTATACCAGGTGTATGAGAGATTGCAAAATGGAGGTTGGTGCTCTGAAGACAGCAGTAAAAGCACAAAACAATACGTCCTTCTAAATTCTCTTTTCCCAAAGAACAGGACCAGGAAACACATTCTGCTCTGAGAATGAATAAACTAAGGGAAATCAAGGTAGAGGAATTGCTTTACATCTGCAGAAGATCTAGTTAAGTTAACTGATTAAAAAGTTAGTTACAAGAGCAGTGCCATTACCAAGATCTAGCCCAGAGTCACGAGCCCCTCGCGCCCAGCGTTTTACAAATACAGAAGTATCTGTGGTAAAGATACACTTCATAAAGGACACAATCCCAACGGAGAAAGGAAGAGAAGACAGTGATTTTGATTTCTTCAGCTCAGAAGAAAGAAAAATATCTGCCATTCGGGCAAGCAGCCATTTGTATCAGAAGAAATATAAGACTACCTTTATAAAATTAAGAGTTTTACATTAAAGTAGTTAAAATAAGAGTTCACCTTTCACCTGGGTATCATCCTTGGCCTTATATTCTGTACTTTTAATGGCCAGTTCCACACCATATCCAGAGAGGTAGACTTTTTCTTTACTGGGATTCTGTAACAAAAAAGCAAACATTACAACATTGCCACTCTTTGTTTTGATGTACAAATTAAAAGCTGCCATTTCCCAAAGCTAAGGAACCTCAAGCTGGCGCATATTTCAGACATAACTGGTAACGTGCAAGTGAGAAACAGAAATACAAGGAGTGATTTTGCAGTAATGTACCACAATAATTTTATTTCCTAATGCGTTTCAACTAAGCTTTTTGAAGTTCAGAAAGCAAAGCTACCGCTGTGAACAAAAAAATCAAATCAAAAAGGAACATAAAGCAGTGTTTCAGGATTCAGTGTGTAAGCCAGGTATCCAACAGGATACACTTATGTCTTCAAATTAAACGAGGGACACAAACTTCAATTGTTCAAGAAAGAACTATTCGCTGAAGAGTTATAAAAGGGAATTACAAAAAAACCCAACAACAACAACAACCTCAGTGACTCAAGAGAGAGGCAGATACTTAGCTCTGACGTTAAAGGGAAACAAGCACGGTCACCTGACAGAAATATTTTGAAGTGCATACCAGTCATACAACTGTATCAAGATTTGTTGCATAATATACTTAATCCTGAATGCAAGTACTCTTTCCAAAACTGAAAAACAAATTACGTGTTAAAAGGAAAGCAGCGTATGCAATGTATGACCTTCTTTTATCAAAGGTACAAATGTTACTGGAGGTGAAGCAACTGATGCTGCTTTTTCTCATTCACGTCTGGCTACTAGCCAGATGTTTGCAGGTTTTGGCAACATCATGAAATATTCACGAAGAAAGTCAAACAGCTAATTTCTTGGAGCTTTTAAAACATAAACATCAATCTAGTGGTTATGGGCAATTTGAGAGAGAGAGATGAAAACAGGGACAAATGACTTGAGGACTGGTGAGTGGTTCTGTAACGAAATCTGTACAGAAACAATGTATTTCATTTGAAAACGAGACCTTAAGGTTAATCTCTGCTCTTTATGTTCAGGTAATTTAAGTGGCCTCACTGGAGAGAGATGAATATGTAAATGGGAGGTAGGTGGTATCTATTTCCTATAATCAAATATAGCTAGAGCAACATTTTTTTAGGTAGAACTCTGTAATTTATCTAGAGTTTGACTCTGAGTTTGCAAAATCAAGCAACCTTCTCATTTCAACAATCAGGAGACTGTAAATACTCTGTAGTCCTCAGCTACATGCCATCAGAAAATAAACTGAGTAATTCTGAATACATTTATGTAGTGTGTTGCTGCTTGATCTTTAAACGTGAAGAAATCAAACGTAGGCCCTTTTTCTTTTTAAACCCTAAGTATCTCTAATATCTCTTTCTGCGTCAAATACCCGGGTTACACAGAGCAAATATACTTACAGCAACATAGTGTCTGAGGACATAAGTGATTTCTCCTGCCTCAGCCTTTAAAACAAGCAGCTTGTGGAATCTGTAGAACTCCTCTGAGCCAATCTCAGCATAAAGTATGACGACAGGACTTTCAGGGTTTGAAACTGGGTACCTGTGATCCCCTTTAAACAAAAACGGCTTTGGCCTAAGAGCAAACATCGAAGATTACCACAGTGTGATTCATACTGTTTCCTCACTCGACGCGAGATGCAAAATTTCTGTCTGCCTCGTTTAATCACTGCTTTTGTCTTCACTGAATACATACATCGAGCTATTCTCTGCGTACGATGGAGGTTGGCAGCACTTGATACAGGCTGATAAAGCCTTATGTAAAAATGTAAGTATGACAGTGAAACAAGTTTTTTGATTCTGAACACCACCTAACTATGATCCTTATCTAACAAGCACTCACTTGCCCTGTATTTTCAATTAACTCTTTTTTAATTGATTCTATCAGTTCTATATACAAAAAAATAAGAGGCTAACACAGCAAACGTTCCAGACACTCAGTGCCAAGGTAACCTTGAACCAGGGCTTAGGCTACAAACAACAAAGTGAATGAGAATGCTATTTTCAACCTCTGTTTTTAAATACTGTCTAAAATACAATGAAACGTTCAGATATTCCCAGTGAGTCAGCAGAACATGCATGAGCTCTGCACATGAGCATATGAGCTGCTGATGCCACAAGCCTGCAGGCAAACGGGGGAAAATTCTTTATTTTTACAAAAATAAAGCTGCTAAGATTACTTGGAAGGCAAACTAAAACTTTTAAGTATTTTTAAGAGGAATTATATTTTACAATTTCTTTTTGTTACTAAAAGTTACGCTCAGTTTCTGTTATTTCTCTTGTAAGGAACAGGACTGTTTTTAGCCTCGTTAATTTAAACAGCTTACAGACTTTTAAAGAAGTTAATTATCGAGATGTCTTTAGAAAAATTGTGGTCTGAATAATCAACTTGCAATAACAAGTTCAAGAGATTAACATGTATTTTGAAGAAATCTGAAGTTGAAATACGTTGTATATTAATAGTGTTCCCTTTGTTAACTTTGAGAAAATTATATAGGAAAAATGCTTCATGCATGCAATGCTATGCATGCTTCAAATCATTCATAAAATTATCTCTATTATATTAACTAACACTTTAATATGCAGCCCAAATCTTTCCATTCTCCCTACATACTAAAGGCTTTATATGTTTCTCATGGTTACCACTGTCATTCAGCAACTTGTTTCCAACTTTAAAAGCCTCCCTCTTCCTGACACAATATCAGTGCAAGGGATAAGAAAAAAAAAATCATTCCAATCTGCAAGAATAAGAAGTAAAAGACCGCCGCTCGTGTGTAAGAAAGGAGCAGTATAAATTGGAACTGAAGAACGTAGAAACTAGCAGTTTATTAAAGTCTCTTTAGAGCAGTAAATTTAGCTAGGTTAAATTTCAGGAGCTAATCTAAGAATAGAAAATTAAAAAGATACCTTTCTGAAGCTGTCTGTAAAAGATTTCCGAGAGAGTCAAATTCACATGTCTTCTCTCCATGCACAGCAAAGAAGAGAACACAGCCCTTTGGTGGGAGTTCATCTGCTGCTATCTGTATTCAAATATTTGTAATAAAGAAGGTTGAATGTTTGCCCTAGGAACAAGTGGAAACTAGTAGTAGTACAACTCCGCAGCGATACAATAATATTGGTCTCCTACCTGGATTTCATAAAGTCTAAACAAGTACTTCTTTCTCATTTACTACATAATGTAAATGCAAGGCAAAAATCACAGACTTGAGAATTAAGTCCCGACGTTATTAAATATTTTTTCCAGCCTATCACTATTCCCTGTAATATTTGTTCCAGGTTTAAAAAGTTGAGTTTTCTGGTTTTATTCTATTTATTTATTTATTTTGCATTACGCATCAGAAAACCCCGTATTTGTTGAACGGCAAATGATAACATGACTCAAGATAAAAAAGGAAGATGTCTTCTAATATTACACAAATAAAGGGCATTATAATGTGAGACAACTTGCAATGAACTATATGATATCCCAAGTCTGAAAAAGAATGCAAATTACAATGAACTTCTAGTTAGGGATTCTAACCATTAGAGCTATATATTCATGAATTACGACCTTCAAAAAGCACAGCTGAAGAATGGGTCTATCACTAGCACCACAAGTACCAACAGAGCAATATTTGCTTAGTTCAGCAAAAACACAAAGCATATGTGTTCAATTCTATTCCTTGGAAGAACGGAATATTTAAAAATATGTATTTTATATGCTTGAGGGGTTTCCCCGCCTCTTTTTTGTTGCTGTTGTTAAGAGCTATCTATAGCTCTGCATGTTTTATTTAGCAGCTTTCATTATTTGTACATCTAAGTTACAGTTCTGTGTCTTCAGAAAGACTTGAATCTGTTATGCAATTATTACGTAATATCAAGCAACAAAGTTTGTTTTAAATAGGCTTTCCAATCATATCCAGGATGTATTCTGTAAATCATTCGAGGGTTTCCACTGTGCTGTACTAACCTGTTGAAAGGCTTGAACCGTTGCAGAGTAAGAACGTAACGACAAGGAAAACTTCAACAAATTCTGCTGCAGAGGCGACAGATTCTGGCAGGCCACTTTCAGCATTTCATGGTAAGAGGAATAATCGCTCCCTGTGAAGTCAGAGCACGGGCAGTTATCTTTCTATACAATATTCTCATTGAAGGGGTTTTTTCCATCATATTTGTGATTTATACTGACAGAAATCCATGTCATTAATTGTAAATATGTACTCGACCCTTCCTCCGTTTTCATTAGAGCTCAACTCCACAGATGGATCAGAGTCAACATCAGCGGAGATCCATTTGAGTACATGGCTACCCTAAATATGTCCTTGAGGATGCAAACACAGACTTGGGACCAGCTTCTAAGCAACTCGGGGAGGAAGGAAGCAGTTAAGAGCTCCCATTTAATTTCAGTTTAGAAAGAGAACACAGAGAAAGCGTTTTCAAAATTATATACTTGATGCTGCAACACAAACTAGCAAGTAAAACATGTTTTAGGCTCATACGCTAAAGCTTTTGTCAAAGGAACATCCAAAAGCCTTGAGCGCGCCACAATAAAAGCATTACTGAAATTAGTCCTCAGGTGATGTTTACAATACTACTACAGTGCAAGACAAAACACTTGGAGATGTTTTTCCACCATGCCTACTATCAGTCATCGCTCAGAGAAGATTATGAGAGCTTACCATCATGTTGAGATGATTTAATATTTTGACTTGCTTCAACAAAATTCCAGAATCTTTCTTGACCTTCTTCTGATAAAAATTCACTGAATAAAAAGAGAGGAGGTAGCTAGATCTATGAAGTTTCTCTCAACTTACAATTCTTACAGTTCATAAAGCTTTACAGAAAGTTAGCTCCTACCATCTGCTTATCCGTATCAGAAAACAAACGTTACTAGACTAAGCAGACCAGGAAAACTAAAATACCAAACACAACAATAGTTGCAGGCCAGGACAAACAACTACTATGTGAAAGAAGATTGTTAAGCACCTATTAATCTCTCCAAGTAAAGAGCACCAGAATACAACCAGATACATTTTGGGAGCTCTTCTCTTCTTTCCAAGGTATTTCTTCGCTAGCTGCATTTTGAGAAACATGTAACATTTTTGTTTATTTTGTTGTAACAAACCATACAAACGACTTTTTTCTTTGTTTTAATTGAGCCAATGAACAGCTTCACATCACAAAGTTGTAAATCACCATATATTAAGTATATGACTGTGTATGTGTACAGAGACAGTAAAATAATTCTCTAACCATTGCTAGCAACAAATGCTTTATCATGTCCAAACTTATTAAAGCAATGCTAAAGGATGATTGGGACTACAAACTCAACACAGAGACAGGACAAGACTTGGAGCCTGCTACCTGTGACCATAGCTGCGTGTTCTTTTCAACCTATTTTAAACTAATCGGACACATACTTCTTGAACAATGCGGTATGAATTGCAGTGCTAGGCTTAATAAACCAAACAGTAGGGGTGCCTTGGCGCTGCAGTACCATATCGTTCTTTAGTTCATCCCAGATGAACGATCCTGCCCAAAGTCCTGGAAAACAATGATCAGGTTACGTATCAAGCATTTGAAACATTATTTTGGACTGTTTGCTTCCTGCTTCTGATTTCTCATTCTCCTAAGGTGAGCTTCCTTTCCCTGCAAGTTCCTCTAGGCTTTTTCCCAGCTCGTGTCTGACATCTCAACGTTTTTTAATCCTGGCATTAACACCTGAGCGTTGCGTTTTTTCCGCTTGAAGATTTTTCAGTCTTCAAATTTCAGCTTCTACAGAAAAGGTTACAGAAAAGTAATTTCACCGAGGACACACCTGGCCTATCAGCCAAAGCCATGCCCATTTGAATGAAACCCATCAATGCTCAACTATTTTCACATCACCCAATCTAGGAATACATCTGACATCTGCAATAACAAGAAGAATTCCATATTTGTCAACATCCTTAAATGATACAAAAAAAAAAAAAAACAAATAAAAACTGGAAGTCACAAAGTAACAAAGACATTCCCAAACCAGTATATTGGGAAATGAAATTACAGGGACTCCTAAAGTGCTACGTAGACTGATGATGAAAAGTAAACAGTTTGAACTTTGCGTGCAGAATCATGCGCAACTTCCCTGTAACTGTTTACACAAACTTTGTATTCAAAACATTATTTTACAGACAAATTGCAGTATAAATTGAGAGAACTGGGTTTGTTTTTATGCATTGTTTTTATGCAGGACATAATTTATTTTCCCAGCTTTAATGGCAACAAGTTTTTGGTTTTTAAAACAAGCACTCTTTAATAGCATAGAAAACATTTTCCCCAGGCTCAGCTGCACAACTCTTAACACACTTAATTTTAGATAATCAATGCACTACTCACGTAAACAAAGTTAAACCCAAACTTAACTGAGCTAAGCCTACGCAAGCAACAGCTATATATCAAAAACTCATAGCCGCCACCGAGGTCAAAAATCTCTTAATATGGAAACCTACAAGAACATGACAGGCCTCTGTACCCTGTGCTATGACATAAAACCTCATGAGGGAAAAAAAACTTCTGATAGAACTTTTTTTAAAAAATATATATATATATATACGATGAAAGAATTTACCAAACAAAAAGAAACAGCTACAATCTCTTTCAATATATTCATCCCATCTCTCCAAGCATAGCAACAATCACATTCAACTGAACAGATTTACTGCTAATTATTTAGTTACACCCAGAATCCAAAGCACCACAAACTCAATTATGGATTCTCTATTTCACATGGACAAAACAAGTATCTGTCTATTCCTTGCTTAATTTTTAAAGGTCTCAAAATGCACACAAACACAGATGCTGGACTGATATATATATATATATATATATATATGACACGCTTAAGGTGGTCACTGTTTATGTACAGTAGACCATGTATTCATGCATATCAGCTTGAATGCAGTCAGCATTAATTCACTGTCTTACCTGCAAAATCTTATCTGCTCAGGCAGGTAGAGAATGGCTGTCGCCACGCTTAGGTGGTTAAGAGCAACCTGATGGGAGGCAAATACAAATGGGCTGCCTCAAACACAGCAGCTCCCTGAAGACACGCTTGTGAACCGTATAAAGGTACTCGAGTAGGAACAAATGGGATTTTTCTAACCACAGAATCACAGAACGGTTGAGGTTGCAAAGGACCTTTGGAAGTCATCTAGTCCAGCCCCCCTGTTCAAGCAGGTTCATTTAGAGCAGGTTGCACAGCACCCCATCCAGATGGCTTTTGATTATCTCCACGGATGGAGACTCCACAGCCTCTCTGGGCAACCTGTTCCAAAGCATAACCACTGCTCACAGGCTGGTACGCAAAAGAGCGCCCATTATATAACGACAGAAACACAAGAAGAGGTCTGCGTCCCAAGGAACAGAAATAAAAATCTCTACTGCAAACTGGACAAAGAGATCGACACCGCACATGAACGTTTACAATCAGCTGACACATATCACATAATAATCTTGTAGGATGCACCAAAAGAAAACAAAAAAACTCACCATTTTTAGCCCCAGAGAGAATATATTATTTCATCCTTTAAGTGCATTCGGATTTGTGAAGGAAAATAACGGCACGCTTACCTTGTTTCAAGTAATAAAGGAGTTGAAGACCACTTTGTAGTTAGAGATGTTGTCACAGCCTTGGAATCTCCTTTGGCAAGTGAAGAGCTGAACCAGATTCCAAGGACTGCAATAAGTATTCCCATTTTATAGGAAAAAACCTAAACAAGTCGGAGGAAAAAAACGTTAGTCTCACGTCATCTCTTCTTATAAATATAGAATCTCACATATCCAAATATATTATGACATAGTCAAGATTCAGTGGCCTGGTTTGTGCAATAAATCAATGAGATAATCATAGTATTTTTGATTTTTAAGCCTGGGGGGACTGTGAGCATGGAAAAAGAGACAAGGATTTTAAAATCAAACTCCTGAGCTGCAGTCAAACCTATTCCAGTTTCCTGTATATTTATTCTGTCAAATAAACTTGCCTTAGGAAGGGATTTTACAAACAGTTTATATTTCAAATTAGGTGGAAGATCAACCAACTAACTATTAGTTTTAGGACAGTTAAAGTGATACTTTGTATTTGCACAGATGTATCAGCTGATGTACTCACCAGTGTCAGAAGGAGGAGGCAAGGTTAAGGTTCCCTAGTCAGCCCTTTAGGTTCAGCTGGGTACAGCAGACTTCCTCACTGGGGAATGAAGAAACAAGCATTTCTTGGATGCACTAAGTACCACCAACTCTAGAAACTGAAAAACGAAGGCCAATGGATGAATGAAGACAGACTCAAATGATACAACTTAGGGTGAGAAACAGGCCAGAAAAAAATAATGCCATTTCTTCTTTAACCTTCACTTGTACTTTCATGCCTACATATCCTCTGACCTCTTCACCACAGTGCAGCTAAGCGGAATTTCCCTGCTCAACTCTTAGGCTTAGCAAAGACATGAATTTTTCTGTTAGCTTTCTGTTTCATCCTTCAAAAACTTAAAAATTTTTGACTATAATATATTTACTCCACAGCCAAATACACGCACAGGCACTCTTTCACGCTTTAATCTTTATTTTTCTGGATCGCTCCTTTTCTGTTTTTCCCCTCCAACTGAAAAAAAACAATCCAGTCAAATTCCAAGGATATCACAACTGATAACCTGTAAGGACCTAACTTCTGCCTCTTTTTTATGGTGCTATGTACAAACAATTTTTGCATACATGTTATATATCCGTACCTATAGTTCTATCTGTACATAAGAAGAGCTATAAAATAAGACAACCTCATCCTACTCACTTTAAAAATTACACTATTCCAGGTGTAAGTTCACGAGCAATCACTCACCCACTGCTCTTTCTGTATCTCAGCACCTTTCCTTCAGAATAAAAGTACAAATACCCCATTATAATACACCTTGCTCAGCTGCGTGCTAGACTTGTGTTATGCTGCAGCACGCCTGGGAAGCGGACCAGATGGCATACCATGACTTTGAAGAGCTAAAGCTATAACATATTGTTTGCAGAGGAGGAAGCCCGTCAATATTTGTGGAGTAAGTCCTTGACTTCCAAACACGACAAAGACAAGATTTGCAATTTCTCCCAGAATTTGGTCCTCCTTATCCGTTACAAATTTTACACAGTAGTTTGGAACACGCAAATAAATATCTCCTACTGTACTCTTCCAATAAAAGTCCTATGCTGCTCTTTAAGACCCGTGGGCCTGACTCCCTACTCTGTGAAAGACTGTAACAAAGACTCTGCTCTATATAATATAGAAAAAAGGACAGTTCATCCCATCTAAAGAGCACACGTCGGAGCACAAGCCTGTGACAGGCAGCTGACAGATATGGAGGAGATACCTCTGACACAGAGATGCAACACGCAGATCTTCAGGTGAGTGGTTTTAAGACAGCATCTTAATTGTTTTAGTTGACTGAAAACCTGCATATTAGCAACATCTATACACCCTGATTAATAGGGCCATAAAACAAAGCAAAGACCAGTATCTTGAACAAAAGTAGAAATACACCATGGAGAACAGAAGCGGTAAAAGGCACAGGAGTGAACGTAAATGACTTAAGGATGTTCAGCCGTGTTCTGCGCAGGATAACGAAGCAAACAAATAATATGAATTAAGACACTAAAGTGGATTTTTCAAGCTTGATTTGTTTTTTAAATATTTTTAGTCCTTATTTTTCCTCCAGTAAATTAACTGAAAAGACAGTTACCTCTGGAAAATGTGCACATCCTGCCTTAGAGAAGGAAATAAATCATCCCACGCTCACAAGCCCTGCCATATCGCGAGGGCACTAAACTTCATCATGTGCTACAGAGTGTGCCGAGTAAAGGTAAGCTGAAAAGGTCCTACTGCTTGGAAAGAGAAGCCAACTCCCAGTGCCAAGACCGGAAAACTAACGTAAGGTATCCACCCGAATCTAGCATTTGGAACAATTATTCACTGCGAACAGTGAAGATGACCAGAGTGTCATGAAGGGTTCTGTCAACATTTTTTAAATGTGGCTCTCACGTTTCCTTAGCACAGATACTGACACTAAAGCACGATGTTTAACCGACTAGTCCAAAATCACACACTGGAAGAGCTCTGATCAGCAATAATCTCTTTTAGCTCCTAGTCACCATCCAGACGGTATTCATAAGGACCTGATACGCAGCACACCACTTCTGCTGCGAACTGCAGTAACTGAATAACGACCGGTAACACAGACGTTCTCAAAGGTACAGGTGATTCACAAAAAAAAAAAAAGAAAGAAAAAAAGAAAAGGGAAAAAAAGCTGTTTCCCTCCAGCCCCCGCCAACACGGCGACTGACTGACAGACCATCCCTCGGGCCCAGGGAGCTGCGCCGCTTCGCCGGCGACGAACGCCGCAGCCGTCCGGGCAGG